CCATTGCAATATCACTAAACAGCATCGGGAATTGTTGGCATGAACTTGGCTATCAGAGGAAAGCTATGAGTTATTACGAACAGTCACTGAAGATAGAAAACATCTATCTATGGCAAAACAACGCCACATCCCGCCATTGCTACATCACTCAGCAGCATCGGAGACTGTTGGCGTTCCCTTGGCGATCGGAGGACAGCTATTAGTTATCACGAACTGTCAGTGAAGATGAATGAAGCTGTCTATGGGAAAACAACGCCACATCCCGACATTGCTTTATCACTGGGCAATATTGGAATATGTTGGCATTTGCTCGACGATGAGAGGAAAGCAATCAGGTATCTGGAACAGTCAGTGAAGATGATGGCTGCTGTCTATGGCGAAACAACGCCACATCCCGACATGGGATTATTAAACAACACTGGAATTTGTTGGAGAGACCTTGGTCATCCGGGGAAAGCTAGCAGTTATTTCGAACAGTCACTGAAGATGATGAAAGTCATCAATAAGGACGATCCGGCGCATCCCTACATTGCAACAGTACTAGACAACATTCAAACCCTCCACGATTAAACTGAAACCGTCAGTTATCGCAAATCGGCAAACAAAAGTAGCTAACTGCGAATACACTATATCAAATACCCAGTCTTGACGTATCATGTCATTATTTACCCTTAAATATCAAATATATTGTATGAAATACAAAGTATGACAACTTACGTAACAATTATTATTTATTATAGGAAACTGATCTCGACTATAAAAGACTATGTAGCATGAGCTGAGGCTACATACATTGTTCATGTGCAGTAATTGCAAGAAAGTGTGACAAACGTACTAAAAACAATTAAATACAGTTCAGCTGTCAATATGCTATAGCCTGAGCAGGTATTCAATGTACTAGTATTAATCCAATTAGTCCAGCACCCACTCAGCAACAAGATTACAACTGCCCTACCATCTTGAAAGCTTCATGCCTATTGGCTGTTGCTCTCTGCATTCCTTATTGATGAGTCATTGCTATAAGGTAAGTAAACTTCACTATTCGGCACAGAAAACAGTAAAAAAAGTCCCAAATTATACAAGTTAAAGGGAAAGTATGCCAAAAATTATGATTAATTGTTGTTGGTAGATATATAAAGCACACCTAGACCAAATTTCAGATGATTTTAGTGTAATGCCAGGTCTCCAGGACCCTAAATGTACAGATTTTGTCAAAAAATGGCAAAAAAAAAAACAAAAAAAAACAAATAAAACAATTTTAAATGCCTGTATCGAAAAAAATGAAAAAAAAAACCTAGGGGTATTTGGCTACTCTACCTTCATACCAAATCTCATGTTATTTAGCCCAAAAATGAAGGAGTTGAATCAATTTAAAGACTTAAAAGGCCTAACCACTGAAGAAGAGGCACGCCGTTACTGGTTAAGTACACCTGGTAGAAATGCCTCTCCGCTCTTGATATTTTAACCTTCGCTTAAAGTTTAGCTTGACGGGCTTTAGAGCCACAATATATGCCGATATGGGCACACACATATCAGTATACATAGCTATTATTAATGGTTTATTTCGTCACATATTCATTTGTACAGAATGGCAGGTCCCGTGTAATTGGGACCTGAATTGCTCTGACAATTACATATTTATCATTGGTTAATTAATAAAAAGTTATCACACATTAAAATCATCAAAATAGCTATTGTTGTATTTGGTTAAAACACAAGATGCCATGGTGCTGTAGCTTGTTGAATACGTCTAGAACAAAAAAAGCAGCAGGGCACCCCAGGTAGACCTTTTGGCACTACCAAATTGGTCACAGATTTAGGGTGGGACACATTAAAGGACAGACGCACAGCAAGTAGACTCACATTACTTCAAAAAGCAAGACACTAAAAAACGGCCTTCCGGTCAAAACCTTGTTGACGCCTATCCCGCGCCAATCGCGACACTTCAACTCCAACTCCAACTCATACAAACCACTAACGTTTCACAAAGACTGCTAAAAATATTCATACTTTCCACAAACTGTCAGAGGTTGGAACATTTTGCTCCAAGAGATAACTGATACTGCGGAGCCCACGAAGTTCAACGCTGCAGTTCTACAACACCTGAGGACGCAGCAATAGCGCATCGCACAGCTCCCCTGCACGCTTTACCCCAATCTAGGGGTGTTGTGCAGTACCCAAACAAGACAAGATATGCTGTGGTACGTTGATTGGTATTTGTGAGGGGAAAGTCCAATGGGTTGTGATTACCATGCTGATCACATTACTCTAATGTCCTGTATTCATCTACACGCACAGAAAGATTCACACATACACATTGTAACAGTTACGTACACATACACTTTCCTTGCCTTCATCACCACATATGATAGCATCGCTAACTAGTCCCATATTATGTACTCAAGATGATCGTCTGAACAATACAAAAGCACACAGAGCGGTTACCGCCTGGGGTCACTCACGTTCCACCGGGCGTGCGGGAAACCAGTTAGCCTGGTATCCAGTCTGATCGTGGTCGGGGCCGAAAGAGCTCTGTCCCGCCCGCCTCACATAGGTTTCCCGGTGTGTATTTCACGAGAGATTGATTAGCCCTCCACGAACATCGTGTTGGGGGAAACCAAATCCCCAAGCATACTGTCTCTTATTAGCGTAACTCTCCTACCGGGACGGTCTGTTGTACTGGGCGGGGGAAGCTATTAGAGCCCCCGAAGGCACAACCTGCCCGAACACCCTAATACCGCCAATCACGTAAGACTGGATACCAGGCTAGAAACCAGTGCGACTACCCGTGCATGGTACACACTCTGACCGCCCGAGGGCTACAGAGAGTAAACCGCAGCACGTCACACGGGTCACTCAAAACATACTCCTTCTCATAAGGCCTCAAAATGTCCAAGTTTAACGCATTACGGTTGTAAATTCGCGTCGAGGGATGCCGTCGCCACACGTGCATGCGGTCTTGGCGGTGGTCTGCTCGACGCTGGCGTTGTGCGGACTAGGAGACGCCATGTCTGGTAAGTATTACAGAACCCACTATGAATACTACGGTATTTGTACTTTACGGCAGTTCCGTATGTCGCAAAAGATGCATTTTCCACTGCTACTAAGAAGTCCAGGTAACTGCACCTGTTATCAGAATTTTAGAATGATCATTACAGCCCTAAGATATGAAAGTATTCTTCTGGCAGCATGATTTCCATGGGATTTCTGAATCGCGATTTTCAACCAAACAAAGAATTGCAGATGCGTATGATGTGACTAAAATTTTCTTGCTCACCGCGTTTGAGGGGCATTGACATTTGAAGGAAAATCTTTCTTTTTCTTTCTCGTCCTTCTCCACTCTGTAAAAATCTCTTTTCCGCGAAGGTATTTGCAACAAAGGATTAAGATAATACTGTAACACATTCTGTCCACCGTCTGTGAGTGGACAGATCCATACTTTCACTCTCTGGTGACCCTTGCCTTAAGGCCAGGGACATGTCAGGTCAATCCACGTGACGTGTCGGGACGGGTAGGCATAAGGAGGCTATCTGTATCGGTATAGCCGGTATAACAGCCCTTCGGCGTAACGCACCAGCTTCACAGGCATCCGGCTGGGCGGCAGCTGGCTACATTACACCGAACGACTTGTTACAGCTAACCCTTGAACATCTAACTCTAAACATTGTTCAAAGCTATCTAAATGATAGCTAGGACTTGGAAGAATTTTCTGGCCAAATTTGTTGATCGCCAGAAGGTCTGCGAATTTCGAATCGAGCGTATTTCTCACCTGTCATTTTATACTGTTATATTGGACACAGATCGGTAACCATTAATTTCATAATTGGAAAATGATGCAAGATGTAAAAGTATGACTTAAAAGACAACTAAAAACACAAAAGGTACCCAAAATTTATTCCAACATTTACGCACAGATAATGCTGCACTTTATTTATTTCATCTTAGGACGGCTGGGTGGCCCCATTCAGCTTACATTAGCTGTTTTCCAAGGGGGCCCAGCAAAATTACACAACACATTGTTACATACAGTAAGACAACATACATGTACAGTAAACATAAAAATCCGATGCGTCAAAACAGAGTCATAGTCCTATACTCAAAGTCCTAGCCGTTCAAAGGTCAAAAACACTGTACTAATGATGATTTTGACTGTTTTACCGCCAGTTCGATTCCGCCTGGTGAACAGCACTGTGCCTCATCGCGGCCGACTGGAGCTGTACAGGAACAGCAGCTGGCAGCCTGTCTGTGCGGACAGCTGGGGACGGCAGCAGACTGAGGTGCGGATACTTTCTGTCAATTACATCTCAATTTTCTGTCAATTATCTCTCAATAAAAAAGATATGACGAAAACAAGATTCTTCGTGAAAATGTAAATGCACAATATGCACTCTGATCACATCATAACCTCTCCCCAAGACAAACATAGACATTTTCAATCTACTTATGTCATGTCCCGACTCCATATCTACGTACTTAGGCCAATATATATGCAGTGCACTACAAAAGAGAGAAAGTATTGTGACAAATAGTAACGCCTAACACACATCATGTCATCCGCCGTTTACGTTCATATTCCTGTAGTAATACTAGTACTAGTAGTAGTCTCTTAGAATAGACTTGATTGTATTGATCACATTGTTATTGATGCCATACATTGTACCGTGTACAACTGTCGAGCAATAACGTTCATTCATCATAGATAGCATTTGAATGCAAAAATTGTTTTGTTCAACATTCAGTTTGTTGTGTGAAGTATGAACGTTGTAAGGGCAGTTTGTTTCCTGTTGCAATTCATAATACACACGAAATTTGACAAATTTTGTCCTTGCTGGGTCTTCATAACGATGTAAATAAAGTCTTAAAGGCATCCAGTGCAGTTTTTAGGGCTTCGAAACCAGATTTTTTCCAAGTCAATATTCTAGTCACCTATCTACACAATATCTACATACTATCTACATACATAAGTTAAAACGACACTGTTCCAAGATGTATATCGACGTTCATGGATAAAAAAAATGGCCCAAATGACGAAAAAGGGTTACTAGGAGGACCTGGGTTGATTTTTAGGGTACCACCCAGAAAATAAAGGACTTATCTTTGGGCTTGCTTCTGCAGTTTTAAATGCCTAAAGTATGAAATACTGATTCAAATATGCTAATTTGTGACACTATGTGCCAGTATCATACAGATTGCCTTATTCAGAATATTTCCAGTTTTGCCGCCCTGAAATTTCATTGGATGCCTTTAATAAATAAAAGGACAATTGGTGAAGTTTCTGGCACATCAGGAACATGAATCTATCGTACTCAGGACATGTTTAAACACTTGATGTCATGCAAGAACGAATATATAGCAGACAAACTATGTAATTATGTTTCCAAATGTTTCAAAAAGAGAGAAGAAAGGGCAACTAACAGTAGATGATAGGTAGTATATATTATTGTTATAATGATATATTCCTAGCAATTAGCATTAGAATATAGCGTCCCAGTATGCAATACTCATGTTTTGCATACTGCATGTCCTCTTGTGCATTTAGCCCATCTGGGCAAGAACATGCAATAAAGATTCATATCATATCATATCATATCACTCATACTTCCTTCCTTCCACAGATGGCATGTCGTTCCCTTGGTTTTCCAGGGGCCGTCTCCTACGACACAGAAGCGCTCATCACCACGAATAACAGCATTGTCCTAAATACCTCCTGTGTCTCCAACAACGCTACAACAGAAAACTGTACAACCGCAAACGCCTCCTGTATCAGCGTCAACGGCACGGTAGAAAACTGCTCTTTCGTCATTGACAGCGCTCCCTGCCGGAATAACAGTGTTGTAGCAGTCCACTGCCACGGTAAGTCAAAGATCGCAATCTAGTTATATTTTCCAGAAAACGCTGTGAATTCCTTTTATAAAAGGCTAAAGCTCACACTTATTTCAAAATGTCATAACGGGTTACTGTATGTTTTAGAGAAAGCAGAGAGGTTAAGGTCCACGTGCAAGTAAATTGGTTGAAATATCTAGTATTTACCAATTTCACACTTCCCATAATGCCTAGTAAAGATCACGGACATGCATATTGATGGGATATGACGTAAGAAGGGGATATACGTAAATGCGACCGTGCGAGTAGGAGAGTCTTCGGTAGAAGGTAGAACGATAGAAGGTACGTCATTTTCTCTAATTCCAACAAAAATGCAATCATGGCATGCGCTTTATACTAGACAAATAATTCAAAACAATATAGTTAACCAGTCTGTCGATAGAACTTGTTGGAAATATTACATCGAGGAAGGGGGAGGGGTGGTCATACGTCATATCCGTGATCTTTACTAGGCATTATGGGAAGTGTGAAATTGGTGAATAGAGGAGAACGTCAAGGGATCATATCACCGAAGAAGTTTATTGTGTAACTGTCAGATGAAATTTTTCTGCCCTCAGACCGAAGTCGTCTGGTCGGCGGGGCCTTGCCTCACCACGGCCGACTGGAGATGTACTACGGTACCCGCTGGTGGGAGGTGTGTGCTGCAAACTGGGGACACGAGGAAACCGAGGTACAGTTTTAACTTGAATGTTGCCACAGCAAGTAAATTTTATGGATGCTCCGCAGACTCCAAATATACAAATATAATGCGATAGGGCGAAAAAAAACAAGGCGGGCCAAAAAACAAGATTCCTACATTTCCCAATATTGACATCATAAACCTTGTTAAACAGGAAGTTTAATTACTGCCAATTATTGCAACATCCATTGTCACTGGAAAATACAAGTTTTCAATCATTGTACAAATGGTTTTGATTCAGTGGGAACATCATATATAAAGGGAATGAACTACGTATATATCACTACATCAAAGTAAAAGACAAAAGAATAAATCAGAGCCTTGTCTTGTCTTGTTTCATCTCTTCATAGTTATCTGCCATCCACGTTTCAGCATGGCAACAGACATCTTTGCCCATTTTCGGCATGTTGACCTGTCAAAGGGCATCTATCTGCGTTGGTGACGGCATAAAATAAGTTGATATAACTATAATAAAAAAGGGCAACAATTTTTTTTCCAAATCAGGCGAAAATCAATGTCATCGATAAGAATTACTTGATGTGGCCTTATTTGAGAAAAATCAACATGGGTGTTTTCGTATTTTCAAAAGTGTGTGGTGCAGCTACTAAATTGTCCCTATATTTTCAAACAGAATGCGTGTGAAGTCCTTGGTTACCCAGGCGCGATCGGCAACTTCTTGGAGAAGGAAACAGGCGTCAGCATTGTGGCAAACGTCTCGTGTACAAGTTCCAACGAAACGTCTGAAAACTGCTCACGATCTTTCGTCACCGAAGGCGACCTGTGCCGGAACTACAGCGTTGTGAGACTTCACTGTCAAGGTAAGGCCATGTTGATTTGATTATATGGATGACATCTTCTGGGAACCCCAAAACTGAAAGTTTGGCAAAAAAAAGTTGCTTTCATTATGATCTATGGTCGACCATAGGTTCAGACGGATGATAACATCTTTTGTTCTCAATGTACGAACATCAGGTAATACACGGATAGCGGACGGGCCTATGCGTAACCTCGGCCGGCTAGAAGTGTACCATGACACCCAGTGGTGGCCGGTGTGTGCTGACGGCTGGGGGCTTGAAGACGCCGAGGTAGGAAACTCAGCAGAACCAGAATCGTGGTTGGGGCGGATTTTCGTCGGTGCTGCTGAAGCTCTTCCCCGCCCGACTCAACCAGGTTCCCCCGGTAGCGTTTTCACGACGGGAGATTGATTAGTGGGGCTATTCAATCTCCCGTCGTGAAAAACCTACCGGGGGAACCTGGCTGAGTTAGGCGGGGAAGAGCTCCTGTAGCCCCGAACAAAACCCGCCCCAACCACGATCGACTGGACACCAGGCTACAGAACCTTTAACCACTTCGAAAAATTCTGTGTTCATGTAAATGTTTAAAAGTGGAAAGGAAGCAAAATATTTATTTTTGCCCTAAAGAAGGCAAAATGACAAATGTCAGAGATTTGTTGTACCTTTGTTGTTAACCTTTGAAAATGTCACTTAGGACAGTGAGGAGGCGACAATAATTCGTTGATCTTTATTTGTTTAGATAGCTTGTCAGACCCTTGGATATCCGGGGGCTGTAAGCTCGTTCCCAGGCACTTCCATATTTGGAAAGAGCGGTGGCGTCGTCGCCAGGGTCTCGTGTGCCCGCTCAGACGGCGCGTCCGACAACTGCACACGGTCTGTGGTCACCGACGGCGTCACGTGCGGGAACAATAGTGTTGTCGGGATCTACTGTCACGGTAAATGAAAAATAAATGTACAGTGAACTAGACAGGTAACATTTGCAAAGCAAATGCATGTTTTTACCTTCGCATATGGTCTGCTCTGTTAATTCTTACTCAAACACATTCATATATGGTCAGACAGGAGTCTAAATCCGTCCTGCTATAAAATTGCAACATGATGTATCCCAACACTAGTTACCATGGTGAGAGATGTCAGGTTCAGGTCATTGACCTTATTTGTTTGGAACGGAAGAAGGGGAAGAAGAAATAGAGCAAAAACGATGTTTTCTTCGGTAAACATAAATATGGACGGACACTGTTTCAATATCTTTGATTGTTACTTGACAATTTGTATTAGCAAGTGTAACAGTTCGTCAGCATGATATGATATCGATGTTTATAGGCAAAACGTTGGCCAACACAAAAAGTAAATGTTCTCACCTAGAGCTTTCGAACAGTCACTCTGGTCTTCTTCAGTAGACTGACCCAGTGAGTCTTGTCACGTGGCAACTTTGAAGTGTGACTTCAGCACTGGGTCAATCTACTGAAAGACCAGAGTGACTGGTTGAAAGCTCTTGGTGAGAGAACTTTTTTTAAACTCTAAACATGTAACAACCAACACAGATGGACTCTCATGATGTGTAAGACAAGGTAATCTTTTGCGCGATTTATTCATTGAAAACGTCTCCATGTCATCCTACAGCTTCTTTGCGACTTGTCAACGGGAGTTCCTATAACGAAGGTCGGGTGGAGATCTACCGGAGCGGCCGGTGGGGCACGGTGTGCGACAGTCCCGACAGACCGCCTGGTGAGAGGTGGGGACAGCGGGAAGCAGAGGTCGTGTGTCGGCAACTGACGTCCGGAGTGGCGAGGATCTATCCACCGGGGTGGTTCGGCGACGGGGAGAATGGCAGCAGCGCCATCTGGCTGGGGGAAGTGCACTGCAGCGGATCGGAGGACGAACTACAGGAGTGTGGGTACACGCGATGGGGAGTGCCGCTGGAAGATGCTGAGTTCTGCAGGGAGAAGTTTGCAGTTGCGGTGGCATGTGGAGGACCTCCTGGTCCGTTCTTTACAAGAGAAGTCATACATGCCGGTAAGTTTAATGAATGAAAAAAACCTTTTTGCGAACTAAGTACAGGTCACGGCAAATAGCGATGGTAGACTAAAATATATCTATAGTAAAACTACATATGTACAGGTTCTGCTTCTTCTCGCTTCTTAAGACAGTTGTAAATGTAAAAACAGATGGAGCTTATAGTACGAGGATTATCGAGTTTCATGAGGAATGTGAATTTTTCTTTTCTATCTAAAAATCTAAAACTAGGGAAATAATCTAATATGCACAGGAAACTTCAACGGATCGAACAGAAAAATATTCATTCCACCGTGAGGTTTGAACTAATATCGTCTCTGAAAACTAATAAAAACTTATCGACGTCAATCGGCATCACGCCTGTGTACTCTTTTTGTCAGGGAACATTCGGCTGGTAGACTGGCCGCTGTATGACTTTAGAAAGCTGGAGGTATACAACAAAAACAACGCCACCTGGCGGGCAGTTTGCGAACACAACTGGGATGACGACATGACCCAGGTATGGCTATGGCCCACCCAGAATCAGACGTATCCTTTATGCAAATATCTCAAAACCGTATCCGTAAAGTCTCGTGTGAATAAGGTCACGTGTCTGTAACCGTAACTCTCGCGAGATCACGTTTTGAAGTGATTGGTCATTAATCATCCTGATGAAGGCGACAGTGGTCGTTGAAAATTAGATCTCTGTGTAACGTTAACCCTTGTGTTGGAATAAAGTTCAACATTTTACTGTATCTCAAAACTTCATTTACTGCCACAGACGAGATGCCACGCAAACACAACCATCTATAAATGTTATTTTACTTTACTTTACACGAATTTCCTCACTCCACCCAGGTGTGAATGTGTACCTAACTTCGGTTGGGGAAAGTCGTATTCAGGTCACTAGGCGCCGAATGGCTGCCGCACAGACCCTTGCGACAGTTCCACAATAATTTGTGGAACAAATATGTGTATCATGTGTATTATTTGATTGTTGTGATTTGTCTTGATTATGTAATACCCTGTATCAATTCAGCCGTATACAGGCTGCGACTGCACGGGTACTGTTTGGACAATAAAAACCATTTATTATTATTATTATTATTTTCTGTCCAGGTTGCGTGTGAAATCCTTGACTATCCTGGAGCGCGAAACTACACCACATCCGGGTACTTGTTTGGTCAGGGACAGAGTGTCGTCCTGAACGCGTCAGTGTCGTGCAACACGTCATCACACGTCATAGACGTCACGACAGACGACTGTACCTGGACCATGTTCACGGATGGAGACCTATGTCACTATGAAGAGAGGGTTGGAATCCAATGTCAGGGTACGTTTACTATATATAAACTTACCATAAATGCGAAACCTAATCATGTTTACCTTCGCAGGAGGAAACATATTGTTTTTGCTCTGTTTCTTCTTCCTCTTCTCAATGACCTGAACTAGACGTCTGTCACCATGGTAACTAGTGCTGCATGGCATCATGTTGCAATTTTATAGCAGGAGGGATTTAGACTCCTATCTGACCATATATATGACTGTGTTTGAGTAAGAATTAACAGAGAAGACCATATGCGAAGGTAAACATTATGCATTTGCCTTTCTAGGTTAGCTTTTTCATTGTTTACCCTTAACTTATACAACGAGGGGCTTCAAAAGAATGAGAATCACCGATAAATAGAAATAACTGTGCATTGATACTATTTGTATAACACTTTTACAAAGTGTCTTTTGCAGGCTGTGTGACTTGGTGGCGTCCTACAATTGCAAAAAAAAATGTTAAAACTGCATTTTGTAGTGTTGTGCGATTTGTGGCTTTGGGATGGCCAATATGTTGAAAAAATACAGCAACATTTTACCTCATTCACGTTGTTATCTCATGCACATCTTCCTCGACTACATTTTCCAGAGTCGATACGCCTCGTTAATGGTAGCACCGAGTACGAAGGACGATTGGAAATCTATCACAAGGACAGATGGGGGACTATTTGCGACCACCCGTTCAAACTCCCGTGGGAGAGATGGGGACTATACGAAACCCTAGTGGCGTGCCAACAGTTGGGGTACCTGTCACCCTTTGAACTACCGCAGATTCTCCCACTGGGGTACTTCGGGGACGGGGAAAATGAGACAAGGGAGATCTGGTTGGACGACGTCGTGTGCAATGGAACGGAGAGTAATCTCAAGGAGTGCCAGCACGGCGACTGGGGACCCGGCTGGATGGATATGTTCCTGTGCTCGGAAGACTACGCCGTGGCCATAGTGTGTCGTAGTGCGGAAACGACAACGCCGCTTCCTCTCAATTTCACGACGAACGCTACCTCAGTGTTTAACACGACGTCGGCGTGGGTATCAAACGCAACATCCGCGTTTAATACTAGTACGTCGTTGTTCAACACAACATCTGTGTACAGCACTACATCAGTGTTGAACTCTACATCGGCACCAACAACGGCATCATCATCAACATCATCATCGTCAACATCATCATCAACATCATCATCATCATCATCAACGTCGTCCACCTCCTCACCATCTACAACAACAACAACAACGAAAAGGACGACAACTAAAGTTACAACTTCAACAAAAGCAGACGCAGCGACGACGTCGACTCATCCAATGGTTCTGGCCACTTCCAGGCTCACAACTGTTACATCAACACAGTTGCCACCAACGCAATCATCAACAATGTCTCTTTCTCCATCACCACCATCACCATCGCCATCTTCGCCATCATCGCCATCATCTTCACTATCTACAACGACGCTGCTATCAACAACAGTAACAACAACTACTACTACAAGGAGATCAACGACGACGACTACAAAATCTACAACGACAACCACCACAAAGAAACAAGCGACAAAGAAAAAGGAAGATGACGATGATAACAACGATGACGACGATAAAGATGATGATGAAAACAATGACGAGAAAAACGACGAGAGCAAGAACGCAGAGCCGGAATCTGAGGAGCCTGAAGGTATTTAATATCATCAACAGTTTTCTTATGACTTTCTGAAGATTCGTGGTCACCTATTTGATAGAAATAAAAGGAAGCTACGGTACAAAAATTGGTACTAATGTAAGCGCTTTGTAAGATTTTACCGATGGTTTAGTCACGGTGCATCTGTAATGTAATAGTATTCTCTGTGTTTGAAAAGTGCCACTTGAAGAGGAGGAGGACATTGTTGCAGCTGCAGGGATCCCTGGAGGGGCTGTAGGAGGGATGGCTGTAGGTGGTGCAGCTGCTGCAGTTGTAGCAAAGAAGTAGGTAGAGGGTAATCACAATTCGGAACGTGCGGTTCGATGTTAGGACTTTGGCACCAGGTCATAACTGTATGTACGTATGTACCTGGCCATGGACTGCTTAAAGTTGGTAAGGATTTCACGGAATCTTTATGTTATTGATATTTAGAGGAATATTTAGAGCAATTATTTCAATTTCTATCATTACGAAACACACCGTATTTTGGCAACTCTTTTATGTTCGCATGACACAACGTGTCGTCTTTTTGCACCTTTTTGCAATGTTGCAAGCTGATTTAACGTATACTACATATCACAGATATGTATCATCATATCATCAATAGAACATTAACTTTACGAAGTTTGAACCTTACCTTATCCTTTATCAGTTTTGGCGGTGTGTCAAATATGTCTAGAGTATGAAGATGCTCCTGATCTTGACAAATTGTTTATTCCCCACAGGATGATGAAAAAAGATGACGAAGAAGATGAAGATGATAATGAGGACGACGATGATGATGATGACGACGACGAAGACGGAAATACTGATGACGTCGACGATGACGTAGGCCCTGACGTAGTGGACGATGCTGTCCAGACGTCACAGACTAGCCTCCAGAAAAACTACGACAACCTACCTCAGGATGAGCTCATAGAAACAATAAACGACCTGTACTTCCGACCTCCAAGTCTTGTGTCCGAGTCAAGTTCACATTCAGCAGCAGATTCTACTGGACACTTGGAGGAATCCGACAATTCTGATGATTTAGAGAAGAACGTGGGTATGCCGACAAGTTTACGCTCTCTAGCCGCACTGTCAGCAACGGAAAGTACATTCCAACTGAAGAGAAGCCTGTCTCGGTTAGGTGGAAGCTCTCTGTTGGATGAATGCCAGCCGCTGCTAAGCAAGAGCTCGCCTTTTCTGAATCAGGAAAGCTTTTTTGACGGCTTCATGCTACCCATACCTGTGAGTTTGAGTTCCCCACACATAGGCGCAGATGGACAGGCTTCTGATGGTGGGGAATCCATACTTAGCCAGAGCCTAACATTCGAGCAAGAGGGCTCCCCAGAAAAAACTTCGACACCATTGCTTCCAGTCACGGATGACATTCAATTTGTAGATGAGACAGAATCACTTTTAGGCAACCAGGAACCAGACGAAAGGCAAACGTCGTCACCGAAGCTAGATGGTTTTTTCACACCGGTTGTCGACGAACCAGTTGCATGTGAAAAGATGCCACCATTAATCGAGAACCTACCTCAGCTATGTATGCCGTCTTTACAGGACACAGAAGCACCACTATTCAAAGAGGAGTCACCCATATTGCATGAACTCTTACCCGATCTGAACACCTACCCGAAGCTTCCCCACAATTTAAAGAAAGATATGCCACTGAATAAAGATCTACCCGATGAAGAAGATGTAAATGAAAACACGCCACTATTACAGATAACCGACGAACCACCTATGAATGAAAAGACGCCTCTATTGACTGACAGTGTAGGTGAAACATGTAACGACAACGGACCGACGCCGACAACAACAACAGTAACGGAGCAACTAAACGTTGACAACGCACCACTGCTAAGCAATGACTGTACACCCGAAAGTGAACACACTCAAAAGAACCCATTTCCAATTGACGAAATCCCACTCAACAGTCCTGGATCCCCTCCTCCAAGTGAGGATAGTTCAAGTCCGAGTGATATTGCATTACCTTCAGGTGAGGATGCTTCTCCTTCAGTTGAAACCACACCTAATCCTGGTACGGTGATTTCTCCTATAAGTGACAGTGCACCACTACCTAATAAAGGCGCGTCACCCCCATCTGAAACCATACCAACTACAGAGAAGGGCTCAACAGTACCGAGCGATGACACTCTAAACCCGAATGAGGGTACTTCATCACCTGTATGTAACAAGGATCCGTCTTCGGCCCCCAATGATGGTGTCTTACCTCCAATTGATAATGCAGTTAGTCCATGTGATTCTGATCCCCCTCTAAGTGATGGCAGCGCAACACCACCTCCCACGGATGACCCACCACCGCTAAGTGATATCGCTCCGCCTCCAATCAATAGTGATTCGCCTCCAGTTTATGCCTCACAATCACCAACTGATGTTGCTCTAACTCCTGTATTACCGCCAAAGGATTACGATTCGCCTTCAAGGGGCGTCACACCACCTACGAATAACGGTTCTTTACCTCCGAGTGACACTTCATCACCTCAAAGTGATTTTGTTTCACCTCCAAACGACACGCCACCATCTCCGAGTGACACGGATGGAAGGCAAGGCGACAAGCTATCGCCTTTAAATGACAGCAAACCATTACCAAGTGACGAGGCTCTATCGCCCAGTAGTGACGTTCCACCACCAAGTAACGAAGTTCCACCTCCAAGTGACGAGGTACCACCTCCAGGTGATGGTATTCCGTCTACAAGTAATAAACCACCACTAATAAGTGACCAGGTTCCATCGCCTAATGATGAGGTTCAACCTCAAGGTGACGAGACTCCATCGCCAAGTGACGAGACTCCATCGCCTAATTACGAGACCCCATCGCCAAGTGACGAGACTCCATCGCCTCATGACGAGACTCCATCGCCAAGTGACGAGACTCCATCGCCTAATGACGAGACTTCATCGCCTAATGACGAGACTCCATCGCCTAATGACGAGACTCCATCGCCTAATGACGAGACTCCATCGCCTAATGACGAGACTCCATCGCCTAATGACGAGACTCCATCGCCTAATGACGAGTCTCCATTGCCTAATGACAAAGATCCACCTCTAAGTGACGAGGTTCCACCTCTAAGTGACGAAGCTCCATCGCCTAGCGTGGATACTCCATTTACAAGTGAACCACAACCAAGTGACGAGCCTTCATCTCCCAATGACGGGTCTCCATCGCCTGATGACGAGGTTCCATCACCGAGTGATGAGGCTCAAACTCCAAATGACGAGGTTCCAACGAGAAGTGATAACCCACTACAAAATGACAAGGCTCCACCTCCTAGTGATAAACCAATGGCAAGTGACGAGGCTCCATATCCTAGTAATAAACCGCCACAAAATGACAAGACTCCGCCTCCTAGTAATGAACAACCACCAAGTGACGAGGGTCCATCGCCTAATAACGAGGTGCGACTTCCAAGTGACGAGCTTCCACTTGGCGAAGTTCCACCTCCAAGTGCCGAGGTACCGCCTCCAAATGACGAGGTTCCACATCCAAGTGACGAGGTTCCACCTCCAAGTGACGAGGTACCTCCTCCAAATGACGAGGTTCCACCTCCAAGTGACGAGGTTCCACCTCCAAATGACGAGGTTCCGCCTCCAAGTGCCAAGGTTCCACATCCAAGTGACGAGGTTCCACCTACAAGTGACGAGATTCCACCTCCAGGTGACGAAGTTCCGCCTCCAAATGCCGAGGTTCCACCTCCAAGTGACGAGGGTCCACCTCCAAGTGACCAGGTACCGACCTCCAAATGCCGAGGTACACCTCCAAGTGACGAGGTTCCACCTCCAATTGACGAGGTTCCGCCCCCATGTGACGAGGTTGCACCTCCAAGTGACGAGGTTCCACCTCCAAATGACGAGGTTCCACCTCCAAATGATGAAGTTCCGCTTCCAAGTGACCAGGCTCCACCTCCAAGTGACGAGGTTCCACCTCCAAGTGCCGAGGTTCCACCTCCAAATGACGAGGTTCCACCTCCAAGTGACGAAGTTCCACCTCCAAGTGACGAGGTTCCTCCACCAAGCAGCACAGTGCCATCACCAACAGACCTGGTACCATCGCCAAACGACAACGCACCACCCGCAAACCCTGACTCCAGTCCAGCTACGAGTGAACCAGAGACTCCGGCCGGCCAGCCGCCCAATCAANCCAGTCCAGTTCTTTCGACATGGACTTTGAGTTCGAGTTTGCCCCAGATGGAACCATCAACGTTACTCCAATCTTAAGAAGTACGGACAGTTAACATACGTTGTATGATGTTGTCAAACATCTAACTAAACATTGTAAATAGAATGGAATAGAAAATGTGATGAAAAGTTTTCCCTTTGCAGTGATCATGATGTAAATATACCGTGTGAACGAAAATGTACCGAGGTCATTTCTACATGAGACAATAGTTGCATAGTTTTTCTTCACCATATCTGTTAACAGAGAAGAGTACCAAGCCGCACAAATGATTACAAGGAGACTGTGTGCATCGACAATGCAGTTTTATTGACAGTGTGATGTATATTTTCGGACATTCAAATGTCATATGCACTTTTGATGCTATCGACACCTCTTTGTCAAAACTAACTCATGGGCAAGCTCCATATTCTTACATGCGTTGGTTTTGTTCTACACTTCACCGTTTTTGAGAGAGTTGGGGTGGATATAGGGGCATCCAGAACCCACCAGTGACTTCCCTTTCGACAGCTGATGGGGAGGTATATCCCCCTTCAGAGCCTCCATGAACTCGTCCGGCTTGTAGTAGATGTTGATGGCGACGATCTTGTTGTTGTCGTCCAGCTCCACCACGCCGAACCCGTACATCTCGAGGAGTTGGCCCGACCCCTGACTCCCCATGTACTGCCCCGTGAAGTGGGCCCAGTGACGCCAGCTAAAGGCTACCGTCGGGGGTCCCGAGAACACCTAAAAACAACGGTAACAATCTTGTTAGAATCAAAGCTTAAGTCATTAACAGCATGTCATGAAGCTAAAGAAAATAATTTGAAATTCCACAAGTGAGCAAGCGAACAGTCACGTCAGAGGCCTGAGAAAAAAATGGCGGCTGCATCGTGAAAACTATACTGCAGTATTTGCCCGCGGGACCTGTTCACTGAGCCCACAGTACTGACCTTTCCGCACACTTTCAGTCGAGAGTGCCTGAAGTAGTAGTAGTAGTAGTAGAGTAGTAGAGTAGTAGTAGTAGTAGTAGTAGTAGTAGTAGTAGAGTAGTAGTAGAAGTAGTAGTAGTAGTAGAAGTAGTAGTAGAGTAGTAGTAGTAGCAGAGTAGTAGAAGTAGTAGTAGTAGTAGTAGTAGAAGAAGAAGTAGTAGTAGTAGAAGTAGTACTATTGTCGCATATAAGATATAATATAACGTTACTAGACGATGCCTACCGCCAGGACCTCCCAGGGGAAGCCATCGGTGAAGGCCCCGCGAAAGTGACGGTGGGACGACTCGAAATCCTCCTTTTCAGCGTCGTACAACTCCTTCTTACACCCCGCCATCAGCCAGTTGTAGTTGCCAACCTCCAAAGCCTTTTCAGCGGAAAACACCTGTAGCGGTAAAAAAACAACAACAAAACAACAACAGTCGATTGAAGTCGGAACAAGTCGACGTACTCCACAAACGTTCTATTGAATAATCACTCCTGGCAAAGCAAATGCATAATGTTTACCTTCGCATATGGTCTGCTCTGTTAATTCTTACTCAAACACATTCATATACTAGTATATGGTCAGACAGGAGTCTGAATCCCTCCTGCTATAAAATTGCAATATGATGTAACCCAACACCAGCTGTGACCATGGTGCCAGCAATCTGGTTCCAGGTCATTGACCTCTTTGGTTTGGGGAAGAAGAGGAAGAAGAGGAAACTGAGCAAAAACAATATGTTCTCCTTCGGTAAACATAATAAGACAATGGGGTGTGTTCACGTGACCGATGCCTTCAAGTTATTAGGCCGTAACTTCAGAATTTCTCCGTCATCGTCATTTATAATGTAGTGGTTAAGTGACGTCTGTAAAGTCTAAAAACGTCACCCTTAATTCTAAGCGTATTCCTGTTGTCTCCAGTACGAACCTTCCCACCGTTAGCCTGCACACGGTACCTCTCCTTGTTGATGGTTGTCCACTGGTCCAGATCTTTGAAGTGCGAGGCTTCCATCTCCCACCGTTTCACCAGATTCTCCACCACAAGCTCCAGCGACCCTGCGGGGTGATTCTTAGTCTTCCCCTGTAAAACAAGAGTTAGGAACAGACGGAAAATTTCTCTTTGGTTAGTCTCTTTCTTTGTGTGGTAGACACAACAATAATGTACCAAATTTTAACACAAATCAAGGGTTCTGTAATACGTGCATCCTTTTGACACAAATGTTGTAGCAGGGTGCTTCTGACAATATAGTGAACAACTAGTCTAAGACTGCTTACGATTGCTTTTATACCACGTTAGCTAGAAGGCCCTAGAAATATCTAACCCATTTTATAAAGGAGGCTAAGAACTTTCGGGAACTGAGAAGATGAACATTTGGCTGTCAAATTTGACCCAGAAACCTCTCATTACGATGTCATATTGAAAAAAAAGCATTTATTGAACAAACATACATTAATTAAATCAGTAGCTATGGTTCACCTTCATGTACTCGAGGTTCGCCCAGGTGTAGTCGGGCTTCTCGGATCTCCACCTGATGTTTGGGTCGTCCAGGTCCCCGCGGTCTGGCTCAAGGAGGTTATACTCCTCCTTGAGACGCTCAAGCTCTTGCCTTGCGGCGAGGCGCTCAGAATCGGTCTTTCCAAAGGATCCGGACATCTTTTATGGACGAAATCTTGAACAACATACATAAGATGGTTAGTATGACATGCCATTTGTCGTAAGACTCGTGTTTTGTTGTAGACAGGGCATGCATGACCAACGGCACAAGTTCCGCCACAAGTCAGCTGCATTTTGTACGATACATGCACGACTGCATAGGATGTATGAATTGAAGATAATAGGAGATTTAGTAGCTATTCTACCTGGAAGCTGGGATCCAACCGCTGGTAGGTGAGATAAGATCAGGACCCTGTCGTACCTGTCATGTCGTGCCAAAACAAAGGTCAAAGGGAACCGTGAGTAGTTGTACAAGCGGTTGTTCTTGAATGCTTCAGTTGATTTATTGATTGAAGCATGGTACAACTTGGCCGCGGGCCAATGCAGGCCGATATCATGCAAAGGAGAGTCGTGGTTGAGTCGTACAAGGGTCATTATCACCGTAATGTACTCTCCAAGCAGGGGTTGATGAGGGAAGATCGTTTGCTTTTTATATATGGCCCGTTTTTTGTCGCTACCCCCACCAACCATCTCTCTCTCTTTCTCTCTCTTGTCTCTCTCTCTCTCTTGGCTCTCTCCCTCTCTCTCT